CCTCGACGAAGATATCTATATGGAAATGCCGACTGGATACCGAAAACCCGGCGTTATCCTCAAGCTTTGCAAAGCTCTGTACGGCCTTAGATGGTTACCTCTTTTATGGCAACAACACTTCGAGAAAGGCCTACTTTCGCTAGGCTTTCGGCGAGTACCCGGCGAGGACTGCTGCTGGCTGCACGAAGAAATCATCTTCTTCTTCTACGTGGATGACTGCGTCCTCTGCTACCCAAAGACCCTAGAACATAAGGCAACCAAGCTGATCGAATCCCTTCAGGAACTCTACCATATTGAGGGAGGGAAGCCTCTTCACTGGTTCCTAGGCATTGAGGTTATTCGAGACCGAGCAACCCGAAGGCTATGGCTTTCCCAGTCCGTGTATATCGACAAAGCCCGCCGACTGCTCGCCGATTCCTCGCCGAACCCTAGGCATAAGACCCCAATGGCCCTCGAAGAGCTCCTTCCTTCCGACTGCGAGTCAACCCCACAGCTCATCAACCTATACCAACGGAAAGTCGGGACGATCATGTACGCCGCGGTCATGACTCGGCCGGATATCGCCTTTGCATCAAGCAGGCTAGCACGATTCAACCAGAACCCAGGCCCCCAACATCACGAAGCCGCAGACCGGGTCCTCTGGTATCTCCTACGAACACGGGGTCTTTCCTTGCAATACGGGGCCGAGCCCGGCAGCGAAAACGACGGCCTTTCGGTGGCTTCTGATGCTAGTTTCGCGGATAACTCGCCGGACCGCCGGAGCTCACAGGCCTTTGCAATGACCCTCTTCGGCGGTATGACCTCGTGGAGAGCCAATAAGCAAGATACAGTCACAACGTCAACAACAGAGGCAGAGTTACTAGCTCTCTCTCAGGCAGCTAAGGAGGCTCTCTTTGCAAGCCGACTGATCTCATCCCTACAGATCGACCTGCAGTCGCCGACTGCTTGGCGAGGAATCGCCCCTCCTTTGCGAGTGACTATTCAATGCGACAACCAACAGACTATCCGTCTAGTTAAGGAGGAACTCATTAAGCTGCGTACGAAACTACGGCATGTCGATATATATAACTACTGGCTTCGGCAGGAAATCACACAAGGCCGGATCGATGTTATCTACACTCCGTTAGCCCAACTGCTTGCTGACGGCTTTACAAAGAGCCTCCCTCGAGAGGCCTTTGAGACCTTTATTACACAACTACGGCTCGCCGACCTCTCGGCGAGACTGGCCCAACACAGGGAGCAGGAACTGGAGGAGGAAAAGGAAGCCCTTATCATGCCGGAGGTCAGCCCGAAGGCGGTGCCTTCGAGCTGAAGGGGCGTGTTGAATTGGAGGCATGGAATATCAGGGCTCCACGATGTCACGTGAGGGATAAGGGGCCTATTCGGGCAGGGCTCGACGAGCCCTCCATCGCCGGCCCTGTGACCGCGATCCCGGTCCCTGGGGCACACAGGACCCCGGCCCCTGTGCGGCGGCGACGGACTGCCGCCTCCGGCAGCAGCCGTCTTCATCATGTATAAAAGACAGGCTCTAGGCCCGTCCCTTAGAAAAAGGGAAGAACAACACACATGTTCAAGGTCATCAAATCGTCATATAAGCAATCCAACAATATTAGGCCCTAGTAATATTCTAGAGAAAGATTTAACTCCTTAGATTGGAATTATTAATATTTTTAGCTAAGTTATAAAATATAGCTATTTCTATTTAGATATATAGAATAAGATTGTAGATAAGAATTTGATTTTCTTATTTATTAACTTTAGTTCTATTATTAAGAAGTAAATAATATCTAAAAATAGCTAATATAATCTATTAGCTTTTATTTAGATATTATAAATAGTATAGTAATAGCTTAAATAGATTTTCTTTCTTAAGAAAGCTTAAGAGGAAATTTAGCTTCTATCTTTCTAATTTATTTTTTAGATTTTAAGAGAATCTAAGATTATATTAAAGTTAGAATTTATAATGTAGATATAATAGGTTATTTCTAGAAAGAGCTACTTAAGTAAAATTCACTATATTAAAAATTAATTATAATAGGATAAGTATTAAAAGGGAAGTTAATCTCTTAATAATAGAAGATATCTTCCTTATATTTTATTACTCGGAATAAGATTACTATCTTAAGGTTATTAATTATAGATAGTAAGGTTGTTAATTTTAAATAATAGGGTTAAAGTTAGAGGGGTTAAATAGAAGCTTTAAGTAGAGATTAATAGGTAATAACCTTATTATTTAGCTACTATTTCTTCTAATACTAGGTAAAGTACTTATTATTTATTTCTATTATTTAAGATTATTATATAGCTTTAATTTATTTAATAATATTAAGTAAAGCTAAAAAAACTAAATAAATATAATAAGTTATTAGTAATAAGAGCTTTTTAAATAAAATTTACTATATTTAAAATTAGTTATTATAAAATAAGAGATAAGTATTAAAAGAAAAGTTAGCTTCTTAATAATAGAAGATATTAATCTCCCTTATATTTTTTTACTTAAAATAAGATTACTATCTTAAAGTTATTAACTATAGATAGTAAGATTATTAACTATAAATAATAAAATTAAAATTAAAGAGGTTAAATAGAAGCTTTAAGTAGAGACTAATAAGTAATAATCTTATTATTTAGCTACTATTTCTTTTAATACTAAATATAGTTTTTATTATTTATTTCTATTATTTAAAATTACTATATAGCTTTAATTTATTTAATAATATTAAGTAAGATTATAAAAAAACTAAATAATATTATTATTTAAGTAATATTAATAGTTAATATCTTAAAATTTAATTTAAATTTTAAATTTTATATAACTATTTAATTATAAATAAAATAATAATTAATAAAATACTTTTTTAAGAAAATAATATAAAATATATTAAAAAGTCTTTTTTAATATTTTTTTAGATAATTTAAAATATAATATTATATAATAGAAATAAATAAAATTAAAATTATTACTATTAAGCTATTTATTTTTTATATTATTAATAATAAAAATTATATTAAATAATATCTTATTAAATTAAATAAAATTAAAATTAAAGCTAATAATTTATATATTAAAATAATTATTAGCAGCTAATATTAATAATAGTCTATTAAATTTAAAAAATAGATATTTATTAATTCTTATTTTTAATTATTTATATTTCTATTTTTATTTTTAAATTTATAATATTCTATAGATTCTTATTAATTAGTATATATATTAACTTTCTATTTATTATTTAAAATATTATTTTATATATTATATTCTTATAATCTTACTTTTTATTATTATTAGATAATAAATAGTAATTTAAGTAAAAATTATAATAATAATAGCTATTAATATATTTATATTTCTAGATATTAAATATAATAAAAATTATACTACTTCTAGAAATACTTATAGCTAAGTTAATATTACTAATTAAGAGTTTATTATTTTTATTATTAATACCAGCTTTAATATAGCCTTCTATTATTAAAAGTATTATTAATTAATTACTATAAGTTTGCTACCTGCTAGCTTTAGCTATTACCTATAGCTATACTTACATATTATTGCAATTAGAAATAAATAGATCCGTAGCAGTAATATATCTTATTTTTTAACTAAAAAAAAGTAAAAGAGAAGGGGTATTAAAAAGCCAGATAGAACCAGTATCATCTAAATAGAATCCAACTAGAGAGACAGTAATAGAATAGAACTACATACCAATCCGCAAAAGAGATATTAAGGGACTTGTAGGAATTCAGGTTCCCTACAGAAGAAGGGTCTAATAAATAAACTAACGTTTTTCCCAGGCAGACCCTATTCCACATCTCGTTAAGCGACCCTTGCTGGCACCATACTGCCACACAGGCATATCCAAGCCGTCCCTTACAAGAAATCGTCTCTGTAGCCAGTCTTTAATTAGTAGCGAACCGCTCCGTGGGTCGGGTGGGGACTTGCTATCAAGGAGATAATACGAAAGCTTTTGATATAACTTGACCAATCTTTATATAACATAGCCTATATCCACGTCTGAACATTTTCTAAGTGGCGCGAGCCTCGATTATCTTTGGGTCTCTCGGGATAAATACACATTAGATAAGTCGTCCGGACGATCCTGATGTCGCCGGGGGAGGGCGCGATATAACAGTGCCCCCCTCCCCGGTAATCCCCTCTGATGAATATGGGTTTTTATTACTGTTGCTAGGAAGTAGTGTTAGCTTATCCTTCACAAACTGATCTCGTATTATTCCTGGGTAGTAGTGGACGAATGCCATATCATGCTTACAAAGCTGCGCCGCGGAGTTGATATTAACTCTATTAAAACTACTTATTTTAAAACGGCACTAGTAATTATATAGAGTCAGCTTTATTAAAATTACTATACGTCAACTCCATTGACATTTTAAATAAGTAATTTAGTAAAAAATAGTATGTATATTTAGTTATATTAGTAGTGTTTAAAAAGGAAATATTTAAGAGTAGGGATAAGAGGCGTAACCTATCTATTTTCTACCCAAACTTTACCTACGCTAGTAGAGATTTGGAGTTTTAAGTAGCTTCTAACTGGCGACATAGCAGGGTTTGTATTTCCCTAAGGCAGAGGAGTAAGATTAGTTGCCTAATTAAAATCTATTTTAAAATCCACTTCTAGCAACCTCAAACTAAAACTAATAGTATCTTAAAGTTCTTCTATTCTATCCAAGCTTTTATATTTTAAAGAGTATAATAACTTTACTCTAGCTTGCTAGGGATAGCAGTTTTACCTCTACAAAGCTATTATTTACTTGCAGTCCCCAGTTATTACTGCTATATTACGAGGAGACTTCCAAGTACTTTTATAGGAAAACATAACACGCCTGAGTATAGGGAGCTTATACAGAGTATAGGAAGCAAGAATAAAGGTCCTTAATATAGAGGCATTCGACATTGCTACCATTCGGCGTATAATAGCTTTTTTTATATACAGAGGATTATAAAGTCGAGACTTAGCTAATATCCTCTACTATAATACCACCTAAATTTTCTCCCCCCTTTAGCCTCCTCTATCTATACTTCTAGCCAATTATATATAACAGGAGATTGTAATATTATAAGAATATAATAATTAAGCAAGAGAATAACCAGTCCCGGGTCTATATCTAGAATATATAGTAAGAAGTATAAAAAAAACAAATATAAAACAGATTAAATTGAGACTGAGAGATATCAGTATCGAGTTATATAGCAGTTATTAAGAGCCTAGAAAAAAGAAATATCTCTCCTCCAGGAATCTAAGTCCCAGGGAGGGTGTAAGGGAGTGCTATATTTATATATAAGTGTAGAGAGAATTTGTCGAAACTTTATCTTGAACCGTTCCATGCAGGTGATGCGGGTATCCACGGCTCCACCAAGTTTGTGGCCGAAAAGAACTTCATACTTGCGACCGGTCACCGAGATTCAGCCAGCTTATATCTGACGATGTCGAGGCTATTGCAAGCTGAGGCTGGCTGCTCACACCTGTAGGGGGATTCCGCGGGCTCGTGACGCTTGGGGAGAGCGGCGTTCTGAAGGAGAAGCTGGGGTTGTACGCGCTGCTGGGCGTACAGTCAGCACCCCAGGGCTTCGAGCTGAAGGTAGAGTCCCAGGCTTCGTTAACGGTCTCCGGGATGCAGCTGGAGTAGTCCCACGACGATATCCTCGAAGGGTGGCATTCGACCTTGCCGGCTACTCTATTATTGAAGGCGATCTTGCTGTACTCTGCCACAACAGGGCTGCCGGAATTGACGCGGTTGACCTCGGGGCGGAAGTCAAAGTTCAGCGGTGGAACAGTTGCCGAGTCCTGCCTGGCCCTCGTGTTACGATGGTGCGTAGACTCGGAGTAACGGGAGCTCCGCTCAGAGCCAACGGTTGTCCTCTTGGAACCACCGAAGCCGAGGATCTGCAATGCGCTGCCGCCGGACCAGTATCGGTTCCATCCAGAGCTCCTCCGCATGCTGTCCTGGGCTTCCATGGGTCCCACACGGGGTCGGGGCTCTGCGACGGTCGGGTCGAAAGCAACGCCCCTGATGTCGTATTCCTGCAGAGCAGGGTGCTGCATCTCCTGCAGAATGGGCTTGCTGATGGTGGCCTTCAGCTGCTTGTGCAAAGAGCTGCCGGAGCTTCGAGTCGTATCATTGCTAGGCCTCCGCGTCAGGCTGGTCTTCTGCTTCCCGGCGCGACCTATTAAAATAGCCATGGATGAGTAGGATTCCTGAGACAGCGTGGCGTTATGGCCGCGGAAATGATCGGGTGAGAGCGGCTGGCGTGGGCCGTTGCCAAAGGCCATCGGGTCCTTCTCATCGGAGGGAAAGTCCCTGGCGCTGCTAGCCTCCATACTGTTTCTGCTAGCCTTGCGTCGCCGCACCAAGAGCAACAGCAGCAGACCAAGCAAGGCCAAGAATCCGAGGATCGATCCAAGTGTGATACCCAGGATGGCATTGGAGCTGAGACCGGAATCATCGTCACTGCTGCCAGCGGCCGCACCTGTAGCATCCGTCGTGTCCGACGCGCTGGCCTCGGATATTGTCAGAGAAGTAGTTGAGCTGCCTGGTAACAAGATAGTCGAGGTCGCAAAGGTCGACGAGACCTCCGAGGTCTCTGAGGTTGACGACCTCGTCTTGGTAAAAGTTGACTTGGTCGACTTGGTCGAGCTGGTTGTCTCGGTAGCTGAGAAAGCCGAAGATGCTAATATGCTCTCGGGCAGAAAGTTTTGCTTCTCGACCTCGAACACCTCGGTGGCATTGAGCCACGAGTTCTTAGTTGCATCGAAGATAGCAAGAGGCTCTTCGGAATTACCACCAGAGAAGACAACCTTGCCGTCTGCGCCTTGGGCAACGGCAAAATTCTGTCGCGTAGCGGTTGGTGCAAGCGTCGAGTTGTACTCTGGCCAGTCGTCCAGGGACAGATCGCGCTTCTCATTGGTGACGGCGGCCGAGTTGGAAAGGGGTGCACCGGAGGCGTTCTGGAGAACAAATCGGCGGACCAGGTTGGGGGATTGTGAGAGATCGAAGGTGTAGAGGCTCTTAGAACCATCATCCCCAGGCATCACAACCGCCTGAATGGAACTCGAGTCCTTCGACAGGGGTTCCGCCAAGGTGGCTCCCGATTCCCTCCAGCCTGTAGTCGGATTGAACAAGGCAACGCTGATATTTCCAGTGTCGCCGTCGACCAAGCAAGCATCGGCATCAGACCAACTGAGGAGGATAGGCTTGACACCCGAGCTAGACCTAGGGCCATGGGAGTTAACGATGTAGGGCTCGGATGCCTGGATGGTGAAGGTTTCGCCCGAGGGGGCCGGGACTCCTTCTCGGCTGCCGGCGTAGATGAGGATGGCATCGTTGGCCTTGATGTACGTCGAGCTATGCCACTGACGATCTTTGGTGATCAACTCAGAGGGGGTGATGGTAGTCCACTTGCCGGTCGAGTAGGTGTACTTTTGCAACCCGGTATAGCCATCCGAGCCGCCGGTTCCGCCGACGACGAAGAGGCCGGCCTGAGCGGCATCACCCGGGGTCACCCCAACACAGACGGCCCCCGAAACCTTCTCTCCTATCTCCAGCTTCTTCCATTTTGCATCTTCTTCTAAAGATAGGGACAAGAAGGCCTCGGGCGTGAAAGAGTAAAGGATGTTCTCGTAGATGACGGAGCACGAACTGTCTAGCGACGTCGGCGGCTTGGGCAAACTCATCGCAGCAGAATTTCCCAGAGCAGCCAAAAGACGACCTCGAGAACTATATCAGCGGACTTACGATGGCATGGCGATGGCAGTTAGCGGTCGGATGGAGTTCGCGTCACAGATGATGTTGGGTCGTACGACCACGGGCCAGAGCGTTGTCGGGGTTCGGGGAGCGAGAATCCAGAATCCAGAATCGAAAAGGGATACCAAGGCGCGTTGAATGAGGGAGACGCGCGATCGAAGAGGACGCGTTCTGGACAGACGCAAATAAGGAGCGGATAACACAGCGCAAGCACACAATGCACCTGGGCGAGTGTGATGAGAGCTGGACGGCTGACCGACAGGCAGCTGGCAGACAGCTGGTGTCAAATGAGGAATCGTTCGCAGGAGGCGTTGAACTACTCATGTATAGCTGTACTGATGTAGGCTTTCTTGGATGTGCACACGCGTCCTCCTCCCGTATCTTTCGAGTCATCGGGGAGGGAAGCCATCTATGTAAGTTGGTACCACCTCAACCACAGATCAACCCGGATCGAGCAGGCGACAGGACCTGCACCTGGTTACCGTTGGCAAAGGAGGATCTGCGAGGGGCCGGGTACTGAATCCTTCCCCCGAACGTCTGCCATTGGTCACCCGCTGGTTTCCCCACAGGAGGCGGTCTCACCATCTGGGGGGCTGCGGTCGCGGGGGAATGGCATCAAGGGCACAAGGGATGACGCTAGGGTCCTCAGCACATCCAAGTTCCAGACAAGAGCTGGCCCAAGCGCTGAGGCGCCAGGGCGCGAGCGGAGCCGTTTCTGGGCTGATTGGTCAACGCCACCAACGAGATCATACGGAGTAGTGTCTCCAGACCTCAGCCACTGCAGGCCGTTGCAAAATTAGTTTTGGCAGATTCATGGGTTTGGGAGATGAGTGGCCTTATCGAAGGTCACTCATCTCCCAATCTCGTGAACCATCGTCGCTCAGAACACTAATTAGTTGTATGTACACCTCGCCCGGCCGCTTTCTCTCTAGTGCCGGACTCTGAAATTTCGTCGGTCGGTTTCAGCTGTAGAGAGCCCTGGCCAAGTTGATTAGGAAGCGAAGTCCAAGATGACCAAGGGCGCACACGGCGATAACACAGACTCTCTGGACGACCATGTCGCGGGCTAGCAGGCAATATACGTCGAGCATGGGCTGAAGGGCTTTACCCAGAACAACGTGCTAAGCTGCCAGAATCTCTGACAGGAAGGACGCCTCATCCGCCCGAGATGTAGCACATCAGCTCACGTTCCATTGAGGCTTAAATTTCTCACCTCTCCAATTCTCCATCGTAGCGGCAATGGTTCCGGGTGCTGCAGGGATCCCGCCAGTATGTGTGTCTGCGGGGTGCGAGATCAAAAGATGGGGCAGCCTGATGAATCTAGAGTTATATTGGCTTGGATTCATCATAAAGGGGAAAACTGTCTAGAGTGAGCTATGCTAAATCAAGGCGGGGAGCGACGTAGCCTACTGAACAGAGGAGAGTACAAGAGCTGATGTCCCTTCGTCTCTTATGTGTTGGCATGATCCGGGAAGCTACATAATAAGAACCGGGCCGGTTACGGGGCGTATTATGTAACGTAGGAGATCGTGAGTTCCAGAGATGGCCTGACTCAGCGCATCAGACATTACCGGCTTCCGAGATGGCTGAAATGAGAGAAGCTAGCTTGAGCATAATCCACTTCAATTCTCAAGACAGTAGCCAGCATGGTCTAAGATCCTGCGTATTGTGGTGCTTGCCACATACAAATCCGTGATATGCTTCTGTTTATGACGTTTAGAATCGTTTGCGATCATGGGCAAGTGGCCCAGTATGTCACCAGGCTGTTGATGCCGCACAGTTTTATAGTCTCCATCTAGAAGGTATTGAAGAGACTGACCTTGCATCGTGCCTAGAACGTTACAAAGTTAGAGACGAAAGAAAGCCACTAATCTATCTAACACCCGCACCGTCAATCTTTCAGATCTCTCAGCCAGCTCCTCTAGGTAGGCAATTCGCTTCTCCCTAATTAATGCCTCAAGCGTGGTTTTTATCTCATCTTTTTCTAAACAGTCCTCCCCAAACGCCTCAGAGATAAGCTCGCACTGACAGTTTTTAAACCTACGCCAGCGGGTAGCCACATCTCCCACTTATTTGTGCTATTTCCACCTCGAGGGCTTCCAAGTTCTCCCTGAAGTAGCTGGGGCATAGTTTCATTACCATACACTTTCGCTTGAGCCTCGTGACCCTTTGTAGATTATGTTTGTTGTGCTTGTTCTCGCCATAGAAGAGCCCGTCGACGGTGATCTCAAGCAGTATAGCGACCTTCGCGCGGACGAGAACCTCTCTTGGCTTTTTGGTAAATTCAACCTCGAGCCAGGAGTCCACAGGGTGAGGGAATGTTTCGAAAGCCATTTTGTTTGGGGTCCTTTAACTGGGGATCTAGGGGAACTGGCGAAGCTCAACGGCGACGGCGTAGCCCAAGGGACTGAGATTCCCATGATAAAGTTTGCTCGAGGCATGCCCGTAGGAACCTGAAACGCGAGATGGACGTTGACCACCGTCTGGAGGCTACTTCAACATGAAAGAGGGGAGCTGTACGTCCTGGTGCAGCTCTTCGGGAGATCAAGTCTCTGAGAAAACAAAATACTTGAAAAGCAATGAAAGCGGGAGGGAAGAAGACCTTGGCTAGTTCCGTCTCGGTAGGGTCCTGTCATGGTTCTGCAGGACAAGGGAACGGAGTTGGGACTGCTCGTCGTGCTCTCAGCTACGCGGGCAGAAACCGGGTGTCGAAACGTATTGCAGCATGAGCCAATTGGAGCGCTTCGACTGGGAGCCGAATAGCGGCGACTGGCAAATTGAAGTAGTAAGTCACACTGGCAAAGAGCTCACGCCACACTTAAATGACGGGCTCGGCGAAACCACCTCGCATGCAGATGGACGACTAATCACGGTTCGCATCATCTTTCGACTTCCCAACTGAGACAGCTCAGAAATTAAATCTATTACGCAGGAGCGGTTTGTACCGAACGCGCGAACGCGGGTGATGACCCCATGTAAAGCACAGTTCAAGCCGTGGAGATGCCAGTCCACTTATCTGATATTGCACCTGGTCAAAAATGAAAATTGGCTGCTAGCGGGCAGTCCCCTCGTGGCAGAGACGGAGAAGAAGCGGACCCGGAGTGTCGACGAGACGAACAAGATGCTAGACGAGATGCTTCAAGATCGAGTAGAGACGGGACAACTTGTCCCGGACAAGTGGTCCGGGGCAAGCGGAGGAGTGTACGACTGGCAAGTGGGCAGAAACTGGATTCCTTGCCAGCACCAGTTCACAACCCGGACCCGTTGCGCCAGAGCCCGACGCCAGGGCCAGTGGAGGAGACCAAAGCTGTACCGACAGAGGGATAAAAGGAGAGCGGAGAGGAGAGGCCGACATAATTTCTTGCTGGAGAGCAGCCAGTGCCTGTGATTCGAGCAAAGCAAGAGGCGGTGGATCAAAACACGAAGAGCAAGCGATAGCCAGCGGCGTGAGATTTTGGGGTCGATCCATGGTTAGTCCATATCTACAGTACTGCAACTTATAGTGTACTGTATGAATGTCATCAGGATCCTTCCTGAGATGAAGGCTCGCTGCAAGCTGCAAGGCCCGTGCGGGTCCAGTCGGCGCTGATTGGCCCGTGAGCCCGGCTTCGGCTTTAAAATTGCCCAATGTGAAACGGGGCTAAAGTTGATTAATGGCGAGAAAGGACACAGATGGTGGGCCGACTATCGATGGACCATGCTTGGTTTTCTTTCCCCTGCCAAGCGAAAGAGAAATGTGAGAGGCATCAGAGAGAGAGAGAGAAAGAACGGCAGGGGAGCATCTCACTCATCATCAGAGTATCGCGGAGGAACCGGAGGATGGAGGCTAGCAAAATGTAGTTTTATTATGTAGAGTGTAACGCAGAGGCGCATGGGCCATCTCTCATCTAGCAGCTACCTGGAAGTGGCAGGCAAGTGCGTGCCTCTACTCCGTAGAAGTATCTATTAACTTAGTATCTGGGCAGGTGGTGCTTCGGAGGCTCCTTCCTAGAGAACCCTGGAATCCCGGGGTCTTCCCTGGCTCGAGACCCATCTCGTCTGCTTTTTCTTACTCGCCAACATCCAATCCAACAACGCCCAATATCCAACGTCTCCAGGCGTTTCACTTCGCCTTCACCTTCATCTTGGCCTCAGCCTTCTTTCCCTCCATTCTCTGCATGAGGACTTGACATCTTCATTTCCACTCCCTTTTTCTTCTTTTTGCTTCTTCCTCCACTCCCTTGGTGTTCGTCGTCGTCGACGACTTGGCCCCTTCCTCGACTCCTTGGATATCCCCTTTCGATAGCGTGGCTTGGTTGGGCCCGTTCTGCCACGGGCGCAGAGACAAACTAGCCCCCAACTGGCCTCGATTTGCTGCCGTTGTCCCTGTCGAGGGCCGACTATGTTGGGTCTTGCTGGTTGCGGGTCGTTCTGCTGCTGCCACGACAGCCGGCACGCCACCACTCACACCCCCCGCTTTGTCGCCGTCGTTTCCACTGCTCGCGCCTGTCCCTGGTACCCTCCTCTGTCAGGATCTTATGTCGACCCTTCTTCCGTCACCCTCGTTAGGATTAATTACACTTTTGCCGTATGCAGGACCAGGGTCTCTGAAGGATGACGGCCATGTTCAGACCGCTCAGCAAGGGTTTTCTAGTTCCGGATTGCGGATGCAGACCAGGGGATGCAGGTCGATCAGCCCCCACCAAAGAAACGATATGCTCATAGAACCCGTCCCATATATATATCTTGACCCTACCTCTTTGGCGGCATTGAATATTTAATTCCTCCCCCTCTTAAACTCAAGCTGGTTGCTGGTTCTTGAGATGCTATTTCCACTTTGACTTTCCTTCCGGTACCCTTGCGACTTCACTCCTTGTCCTGGACCGACCTCTCTTCCTTCTTCCACCCATTAACCACTACATTCGTTCCCAGCCGACCCAGGCAGATTTTCATGAGTGTTGATTCCCTCTTGAGATTCTGACTTTTTTTGGACTTGTTTGATCGCCGTAGCATAACCAAGCTTATCGTCCCCGTCGTTCGTTACTCCTTGACCAACGGCAAAGCTGGACGAGAGATCCTCGACGATATTTCTCTTCCCCCATCTTGAACCTCCGCAATACGTCTGGGTAGCCGGCAGTCTTTACATTTTCATCTGCACCTCATTCGATATTTCCAGCTCCAGCTCCAGCCTAGCTCTTGCGCGCATTCATCGCTCTAGTCTCGTCGACGACAGGGGTCCTGGGCCATTCGCGCTCTCGAACCTTTCTCCTAAGCAGTACCTTTTGGCCTAGATGCTATCTATCAACCCGTCCCTCCCCCCTCTGCGACTTGTTCCAGCAAGTCATAACACGGCTAAATGGCAAGACCAACGAAGGACGTATGTGTGGCCCACTCTAGCCGGTCCCCCCTTCCCACCTTTGTTTCTAATGGGAGCATTTTCTTCTTTAGACAAAGAATCTTGAGCGAGTGAGAGACAATCAGCGAAGATCCAGAGCTCGGAGGAGAGAACATCTACTCGAACTCGAGCACCGGATCCGTACCTATGAGCTCCAGGGGATCGAGGCCTCGTCTGAGGTGCAGCAAGCCGCCAGGAGAGTCGCGGACGAGAACAGACTACTCCGCGGTATCATCACAAGACAGGGTATCAGCGATGATTACGTAGCGAGCGTCTTGCACTATGGTGTTGCCCCGGATCCTGATCCGGGGCCAATGTCACACTTCGCCTGCAGCAGCCCAAGCGAGGCAGTTCAGGCGTTGCAACAGGCCTTGGTACCTCCGAGACCTGCACCTCACGATCAGCCGGCTCCATATCCAATCCCTTCCCAGGAAAACCGAGAGCAGCTCATGAACAGTGAGCCGACGACTGCGAATCCCTTTAGGGAACTAACACAGACCAACCAGCCAGGAATTTCCTTTCCGCGTCCTCTGCCTTCCAACGCCCTTCCGCCCGTGGGACTGCCGGCGATCCTTCCGCAGCTCCAGCCTCAGCAATACCATCAGTAATACACCCCTACCGTATTCTCTGGGCCTCACGTACCGCGAACTGAAGGGATTCCTCCCCCTCCACACCATGCTGACCCCGTGTCTGAAGCCATCATCACCAATCCTAGACGCGCAGAGTCGAATGCCGACCTGAAATTGAGTCTGTGAGCCCCTTGGCCTAGATCCTGTTCCTCGAGGAAAGCAGGGAAGAAAGGAGAGAGTACGAGAGGCTGAGGCTTTGAAAGATGGAACCCAGGGCGTCAGTTCGCCCTTGCCCTCTCCTCGTCTGGCCACCTTCTTTTCACATCGCTCCAAACCTTCCACTTGAAGGTTGTGCATCGGGAATAGCGGGACACTTGCCGCCTGGGGCGAAAGCCGTAGACTCATGATCCCCCATGATCCCTTGTCCTACCCTCCGCCCCACACGCCTGAGTCACCTCTACGGCGAACGTTGTCCCGCCCGCGACATTACAAATGCATTACACCGACACACGGTAATTAAGCCACCATCGAGGCCCGCCCCCCGCAAGAGGTGCAGGCGGGCTTACCACTCACTCATGCTTACTGAGGCAGTGGACGGCCGCCTCACTTTGGATGAAACTGCGGGTTTTTGCGAATGAGAGACGAGGCTCCTGTAAGGAAGGTGGTCGTGGCTCCTGGAGGCTTGCCTTGAGAGAGTATATAAGTGTGAGATGTGACCGCCAAAGGTTGTTCTCTTCACTCACAATAATGAAAACCCAGCAAGGGCCTGATGCACGATCGACACAACAGGCTCTGTCCTAACTTTTGGTTCCTTTCCTCCTTCACGATGCACCCCCAAAATAATGCTCCTGTGTCTCTGGCTATGCCGTTCAGCTAGTCGGCTTCTTTACATCAACACACACAACACAGTTGCCAGCCAACGCATGTCTGTTGCACCATGAAGTAGCTGCTGCAACCAGAATATCTACGTTGACCGCTTTCACCGAAAGCTGGTCGTTTCCTGGCGAGCCCTCCTCTCTCTCCAGGTCTCACGTTCTGATCAGATTTTGCGATGGTCTCTATGAGGAAACCACTAGAGCCTCGCGGACTTGGTCCCGTGTCGGCGAGGTCTCCCGTAGGCCGGCACGTCTTTGTACTGAAGGCGCTGACGCGCCGACTCACCGTCATCGCTCCCACCGTACGGATCACCTACACCACTTTTACACAATGATGGCAAGCAAAAACGGTGTTTCCATCGCGGATGAGTTTTTTGAGTGCATTCCTATGTGTTGGAATCATTCGTTTTGGGGTATTACAGAGTCAAGGGTCGGGGAGCGCTGAGAACAAATAGAGTAGCATGAGCTGGAGATGAAAGGGCAGAGAAAATAGTTTAGATATCAGAACGATCAGATTGTTAAGGAACTATATCGCGTACTTTGTGCTTGCCCTTCTTACGGCTAAACAGTGACGGGATGTTCCTTGCTTGCTCTAACTTAGTGCGAAAGTAATCTTGGGCTCCCCCCCCTGAACAGTCGTCCTCAAAAATTGCGACAGGCCGACCTAAAGATAGACCGAGAAATCGAGTAAACGCAAACGAATGTCTCTATACCGTTTTCCCTTTTTTCCAATTGATCGTTTCCGAAGAGCATCGCTGTCTCTTGGATTATGTGTTGACAAGACCGGTGGCAAAGCTGAGGTTGCGCAACTTCCACTTTGGGTGGGGTCACTTCTGAGAACAAATTCCGTCTGTGTACACGCTCGCGTATCTTCGCTTGGCCACTTCAGTCAGCCGCCTTACGCCGCCAACAGTCAAAAACTATAGACCTCCCACTACCTGCCCCGGCCATCCCCTCGTTAAAGACATTCTTGCCCATGTTGACCATGCTCCTCCCAATACTAACTGACTAGAAGGAGGTCCCTTACAAATCAGTTTCGCTCTACGCATCGTTCAACCACGCTGTCACCGCTTCGTTGACCATGCTCCGGCCTTAGACACCGTGGCAATCAACACAAAGAAGCGATATCCCGACAGGACGCGAGAAGGAGTCCTGCGTAGCGAGCAACCTGAAGCAACACCCTCATGGCCACGTCAATAGCCTGAGAGGCCACGGCCCCTTCTCATATCTCTGCTCCTGATGCGACTCGTCACTTGAGCATGACGCCAATCATCGCAGAGGTGGCACAAAGATAATGCAGAGTGGACTACGCTTGGACAGTGCAGTATCCCTGTCCCTAAGTCTATGAGAAGCCATCTTTAACGATCTACAGAAGGCTAATCTTGCATAAAAGCAGTGACAAAAAGCCGATTCGGATACCGCTGCCTCGCCGACCAACCGATGATAACCCCCGACATTACAGTTGGAGAAACCCTGGCTACTGCTATGGCTGAAAACCCCTGATCCGACGATCACTGAGAATGGCCAAGTCTCCCATGAAGTCCACATCAGTGGTCGTTGGTCTCTCAGAGGAGGTCATGCCGGAAGGAGTGCACATCCACGCACGAGACCGAGACTGTGGTCAGCGGGAGAGACGGTCGACAGAACGGCATGCTCCTATAGACTGACACTGGCCTTATGGAGATGCCCCGGGTCGAGAAACTTTATATTCCACCGGTGGACAACTGGCCTGAGTGCCAGGCGTCACAGCGGCCCCACCCCCCCTGGACTGAAAGACCGAGAGTTTATTGACGAGAAATCCAATGAGCTTCATGGCCAGACAGGTTGAAATGTGTCGAAGGATGGCTGTGATAGACCTGTGAGCACTCGGTAAGGTTCCACTGCCAGGAAGCTGCTCACTGGCCCGACGGGAGTTTGGCCTTTGCGCCCTTCAAGGTGCCGTTGATGCCTCCGTCTTTTAATTCGGTGTGACCTTGGACCATCAATGCCGCTTCGCGATGACAAGCCATGCGACCCGGGGAGATCAAATGCTGCCCGATGCATTCCTGCAATTCCTCTGCCTATTTACGACTCTACGTGGACCGACTCCTACGACAATACCAAAGCTTCTGCCAAGCCTTGTCGGCGACATCGTGGTCTTTCCCAAAACCAATGGAGCGCCCATCCAGCATACGAATACCTTGTTCAGGTTTTCAAAGACAAGCAAGTCACAATTTCCTTCCAAAAAAGCTGGGTCGGACACTCTAGCACCCAAGCTCTCGGATTTGGAATCGACGCCCTTAGTCTCCAGAACTGGGAACAGGATGGCTGTCTTTGCAAAGCTCGACGTCCTATCGCAGTTAACATGACAAAAGCAGTACCTCGACGCAACGGACCACAACGATATCTTGTTCCCCACTAAGTTCCTCCTGCGTTCAACTTATTTAATCCCTTCTGAGACGAAGGTCTCTGTGACGGAACTCTGCCTCTCTTGCGGACTGGGAGATATCAGGCGAGGCTCTGAAGCCGTGTTTCATCCTAAGGACGGTTTCTCGTGGAACGGCGTTGCAGATATCCCCGCAATAGCGATGAGGCATATGACGGGCTTTCCTCAATTGGCTTCTTACCAGCCCATGGATTTCAATGCGCTCTGCTGATTTGGGCTATTAAAGGGCTCTGGGCCTCAATTCAATGACCAACCCTTGCCACGACGGTCCTCCTAAATATTCCGCAACTAAACAAATGGTGGAGAATGATACCCTGGCTACCTCGAGCAAAGACAGCGTGGACAGTGGAATCACAGACTGGTACTTGCTTCTATTTACCTATCGGACTACGAACTTGGCGTTCACTACATCCCCGGAAGCGCTGAGTCGGCGGCCCCTGAGACGGACTAAAATAGACATTGAACTGGACCTCGATACTGCCTCCGTATCACCTACAATATCCCAATCCAGACTGACCGTTAATCGACAACCACAAAGCCTAACAGCCACCAACACTCCCACTGATTTACAATGACAGCACTACGCAACAGACTTCTCAGCAAGCAGTACTGATTGATAAGGCCTGTACTGATACTGATTGATTAGCTTATCAGTAAGTGCCAGGATATGCTGCTGTTGCAACGATCTTCAGCCTAATTGTCACGATTTGGTTGCACGTGCACCCCCCGAATGAGGTCATTCTTGTTCCAGTTCCCAATACACTCTGTCATCTCAATATTCTCCGCCCCGAGGCGTGCACGGTCATACGAAATAGTACGCCGAGCACCTGAAAAGACACGTTCCGCCTTATCCGACATAGGCGGAATCGAAAGCACGTTAATAGCCATCTTATGTAGCCGGGGGTATTCGATCCCTTGCTCTTCTCTACTCCACCAGGCAAGCGGAGTAACTGCGATCTTGCATGGAGAACCATTAATAAACTTCTCCAGCTCATCCTCATCGTCATATGCCTCCGTCACATCAAGCGACTGCGCCAGTTTATCGTACGTTGTCATCTGGATCTCCGAAGCCTCCTCTGGAGAAGTGGTAACAGGGAGATCTTTGTACTAGCGGCTGTGACGTGGGCGCCGGGGTTGAAGAATCCGGAGCACTCTGTGGCGAAGAGATTGGTGTTGCGGTTCGGATAGCATCGCTGGCGACAGCGCCTGGCTTCGTTGCATCGACTATCCCAAGATCTTGTCCTTCAGACGAGACCGGAGACAGGTGTTCGGGACAGTCGTGAGAAGTCTCGGGGACGGGATCATAGCATGTGGAGGCGCCGCTCGTAGACGTGTCATCACCTTGGCAAGGAACCTCATACAGGTCAAGATGCGCAAGGCGGGGCCCCGGTAATTCAAGTTCTGGAGTTGAAGAACCAATAGCGCTGTGCGGCGCAGATCTTGAGGAGAGCTCAGTTTGGAGTTTATGATCGTGGGTTTTCAGTTGGCGGTGGAGCGAGCAGTTGCTATTTCTGGGACGACCACTAGACTTGATCGCAGTACTGGTCTTGGCAATATCCGAGACTCGTCCACCCCCAGCCCCAGCCCCAGAGAAGCAGGACACAAACCTGAAATTCTTTGGTCGGTTAGATCTAAGATGGCCTTGTTTCGATGCGTGAGCCTTTGCTCGAGTGTCTAATGGGCTGTCATTCTGAAAACCATGGGTTGATCGGTGGTGTAAAAAGAGTAATGGCACAGGCTGTTCAGATGTCATCTCGTTGAGGTATGCTGTCGACTGCTTTTTCCAGACATGAAGGCATTCGTAGGAGAGGAGGACGCAAGCTGTTTAACCCCGTGTTGGATTGAGACCCTGTATAACGAAACCTCTGATAGATTGATATCCTGACCTTAGTCAGAAGGGGGGTCTGATTACCCCTCTTCCAGCCGGTCCGGATAACCGGCACAAGCAAGCATCAACATCATCATCACTGCATTGATCCCTATCCATTTGATCGAATTGACCGTAACGGATCCAACAGTTAAGTAAAAGTGGTGCATATACTTATTTGGTGCACATGCTTATCATGCATGTTAGCTAAATTACTACTTAAGTTAAAAAGTTATAAGATTCTTAAAGTAAGCTAGAATTAATATTATAATATTATTAAATTACTAACGTGTATAATAAGCGAGCTGGACAAACAAGTAAGCTGGACACCTCCTGTTGGATTGCTTATATAACTATTTAATAGTATCCACGGCGCCGCTAAGCCGTCGCTGATCCCACAGCAGCGCCGCGGCGAGGCGTGGCGCCTACCGGCTGATCCAGGACCCCCGCCGCCTGCGGCGCCCGGCCAATGGTATCCCGGTATATCCACATCGGGCCCCCGCGCTGGCTACCCCGGATAGCCGTGGATATTCGCGAATATCCATACTCCGTCGCTAATCGGCCTCTATAACTTCAGGGAACTCCAGGGGCCTTTAGTGCCCTCTAGAGCTTTTAGAATACTCTAGATGCCCCGGTCCTGCTAATCTAGCGCTAGAAGGCTAAGCCGGGCTTGAAAATTAATATAATTGTTGGATTGCTTATATGACGATTTGATGACCTTGAACATGTGTGTTGTTCTTCCCTTTTTCTAAGGGACGGGCCTAGAGCCTGTCTTTTATACATGATGAAGACGGCTGCTGCCGGAGGCGGCAGTCCGTCGCCGCCGCACAGGGGCCGGGGTCCTGTGTGCCCCAGGGACCGGGATCGCGGTCACAGGGCCGGCGATGGAGGGCTCGTCGAGCCCTGCCCGAATAGGCCCCTTATCCCTCACGTGACATCGTGGAGCCCTGATATTCCATGCCTCCAATTCAACACGCCCCTTCAGCTCGAAGGCACCGCCTTCGGGCTGACCTCCGGCATGATGAGGGCTTCCTTTTCCTCCTCCAGTTCCTGCTCCCTGTGTTGGGCCAGTCTCGCCGAGAGGTCGGCGAGCCGTAGTTGTGTAATAAAGGTCTCAAAGGCCTCTCGAGGGAGGCTCTTTGTAAAGCCGTCAGCAAGCAGTTGGGCTGACGGAGTGTAGATAACATCGATCCGGCCTTGTGTGATTTCCTGCCGAAGCCAGTGGTTATGTATATCGACATGCCGTAGTTTCGTACGCAGCTTGATGAGTTCCTCCTTAACTAGACGGATAGTCTGTTGGTTGTCGCATTGAATAGTTACTCGCGAAGGAGGGGCGATTCCTCGCCGAGTAGTTGGCGACTGCAGGTCGATTTGTAGGGATGAGATCAGTCGGCTTGCAAAGAGAGCCTCCTTAGCTGCCTGAGAGAGAGCTAGTAACTCTGCCTCTGTTGTTGACGTTGTGACTGTATCTTGCTTATTGGCTCTCCACGAGGTCATACCGCCGAAGAGGGTCATTGCAAAGGCCTGTGAGCTCCGGCGGTCCGGCGAGTTATCCGCGAAACTAGCATCAGAAGCCACCGAAAGGCCGTCGTTTTCGCTGCCGGGCTCGGCCCCGTATTGCAAGGAAAGACCCCGTGTTCGTAGGAGATACCAGAGGACCCGGTCTGCGGCTTCGTGATGTTGGGGGCCTGGGTTCTGGTTGAATCGTGCTAGCCTGCTTGATGCAAAGGCGATATCCGGCCGAGTCATGACCGCGGCGTATATGATCGTCCCGACTTTCCGTTGGTATAGGTTGATGAGCTGTGGGGTTGACTCGCAGTCGGAAGGAAGGAGCTCTTCGAGGGCCATTGGGGTCTTATGCCTAGGGTTCGGCGAGGAATCGGCGAGCAGTCGGCGGGCTTTGTCGATATATACGGACTGGGAAAGCCATAGCCTTCGGGTTGCTCGGTCTCGAATAACCTCAATGCCTAGGAACCAGTGAAGAGGCTTCCCTCCCTCAATATGGTAGAGTTCCTGAAGGGATTTGATTAGCTTGGTTGCCTTATGTTCTAGGGTCTTTGGGTAGCAGAGGATGCAGTCATCCACGTAGAAGAAGAAGATGATTTCTTCGTGCAGCCAGCAGCAGTCCTCGCCGGGTACTCGCCGAAAGCCTAGCGAAAGTAGGCCTTTCTCGAAGTGTTGTTGCCATAAAAGAGGTGACCGTCTGAGGCCGTACAGAGCTTTGCGAAGCTTGAGGATAACGCCGGGTTTTCGGTATCCAGTTGGCATTTCCATATAGATATCTTCGTCGAGGTTGGCATGTACAAAGGCGTTAACTGCATTATATTGCAACATCTCATAGTCGAAGCGGTTAGCTAGGGCTACGAGCGTTTGGAATGACATTCCGGCTAAGGTGGCTGCATAGGTATCTCGCTCGTCTTTCGGCTGCTGGTCGCCACGGATTACCAGCCGTGCTTTGATCTTAACGAAGCGGCCGTGTTTATCGAGCTTGTATGTGTATACCCAGTGGCAGCCGAGTACTCGGCGACTGCCTGCTGCTGCCTTGGCGACTTCGATCCATGAGCCTGCTTCCTTATGACTCTGCAGGTGGGAGGTTTCGGCTGCGATTAGCTGGTGTCTATATGGATGTTTATCTATCTGAGCATGAGAGCTGGGAAGCCGCTCCAACAAACGCCACGGCGTTCCGGCCAGTGGCCTTTCCGCAAGGGGTTTTTCCCCTCCACACGTGTAAGTATCATCATGTGCGCGGTCGAGAGGGCGAGTTGAGCTTCCCCCTACTAGCTTCGGTGAGGAGCTGGCCAGGCTACCTTCCTTAGTCTGATAGGAGCGTCTGCGATGCTTTGGCCCTTGCAGGCTGCCCGCTAGGAATGCAGCCTTGAAAGACGTCCTTGGCGTCACCCTTTCGGGGACGACTCGGCGAGCCTTCGCTAGCTTTGTTCCTCCGGTATCATCACCATCCGGCCGCCCCCGCCCCTCCACGTCTAGACAAACAGCTAAGGCGTGGAAGAAGGCTGATGGGGGTGAATCCGGAGGCGTGGGGAGAACCTCAAACTTGGAGGTAGTATAGGTATCCTGCTCGGCGGGCTCTCGCGGGGAACTCGGTTGCCTATCGCCGTGCACAGCGGGCGTTATCGTAGAATTCGCGGGCCTATCACCGGCATTCTCCTGCTCTAAGCTACTAGAGCCTGGCAAAATCTCATCTGGTTCCTCATCAGGTAGTTGTGATGACCACGCTGGAGGCGGCTCTGTTGCTGCAAGCAGCTCTCGGATACGTTTCTCAATAGCTTCTAAGTCTTCCTTTAGTAAATCGTCCCGAAGGCTCTCTAAACGCCCGTCGAATAGCTGCTGTTCATTAAACGTTACATCCCGCGATGTGATTACTTCCTTTGATAGCGGATTCCAGATGCGGAAGGAATTGCTTGATATATAACCGACTAGGAACCCGATCCAGGCTCGCGGAGCCTGCCTTTGGAGGCGGTTTCGTCGGAGTTGCGCATCTGCAGTCAGCGTGAAGGCTTTGCAGCCGTATGATCGCAGGTGAGATAGATTAGGTTTCGCCGTGTTGTCAGTACGGTATCGTAAATGAAACACTTCGTAGGGAGACTTCCAGCCCCGGCGAGCACTTGGCGAGCGGTTGTAAAGATAGGTAGCTGCCTTGACTGTCTCGGGCCAGAGGTATGCCGGGAGCTTGGCTGCTGCTCGCATTGCACGGCTTTTCTCAATAATGACTGCTGCAACGCGTTCCGCGCCCCCGTTCTGGGCTTGAGTATTCGGCGCAGAGGGCTCGCATCGGATCCCTATTGCTTCTATTTCGGCAGCCACTCGGCGGTGGGTTGTCGAGAGCTCGTTGTCACACTCGAAGACCTTGACTGTAGCGCCGTATTGTACCTCCATCATCTTAATGAATGTCGTAAGAGCGGCCCGAATCGTAGGCGTTGACCGGTCGGTAGCATAGTAGTCCCACGCATACCCGGAGGCCCGGTCTACCATAATCCATACGGATGTATAGCCTCCATAGCCGGTTTCCATCGGGTGGAAATCAAGGGCAATTCGCTCTCCAGGCGCCGCCCTTGCGTTGGCTTCTCGTGGAGCGCGGCGGACCACTCGGCGAGCCTTCGCCACACCGCAAGCGTCACAGTCGACTGTTGTGATCCTTTCAGGGCCTTGAGGGTCGCCTAGCTTCAGCCTGACGCCCCGAGCTGCGTTCGTAAGGTGCCTGAGGACATCTGGGCCCGGGTGGCCGAGTCGCTGGTGCCACGTATGCGAATCCCCTTGGAGGGGCCGGCGTTGGCTCCACGATGTGTACTTCCGAGTGCGGCGTGAAGGCGGCGTGCGGTCGACGAGTAGTGCCCGAGGCACTGGCGATTCGTCGTCGTCTGTAGCGATGTATTTGAGGACCTGTTGCCCATGGAGCTCTTCGATCTCTCCAAGGTGGCTGCCATCGGCCCTGCGTAGGCAGTTGTTGCCTGGTCTTGTGTCCCACCAGAACCCCCGTTTCCTTAGCTGTGAAAAGGATACTAGATTCGAAGTGAGAGCTCTGCAGTACGCAACGTTGAATAGTCGGAGAGAGGTCGGCGAACTATCGGCGTTTCGTAGGGTTATCGTAGCATCACCGTAGCCGTCAATTGGGACCGGCTCCGTTCCTGACCACAGGAAGTCTCCTATCGGAGCGGCTCTGAGGTTGTGCATTCGTTTGGTATCTCTGAAGATGTGGATTGACGCCCCTGAGTCGAGAAGGTAACTCCGCTGTAGTGGATAGGTCTTGGCGACCATTAGGCATGCGTTCGCTCGTGCCTTTCCTCGACAGAAGCTTAGGATCTGGCGTCATTGCAAGTCGGTCAGGGTAAGCTGCCGAATTCGGTCTGCAACCCCATTGATATTGCTAT